TTCATCTGGAATGACTGCAAGCTTTTTCTTGATGTATTCCAATTATTGTCCGGATACAGGGTTGCAGATTTATATTGTGCTTCTTTAGTGGAGTTACAAAAAGTCAAGACCAGCAACCATTCATAGCTGGTTGCCAATTTTTTATTTTGGGACGAATGCCTGGTTTGGGTGGGTCTGCAGATGTCAACTGTGCTACTCCAGAAATGTGTTTTAGTTGCTTTATTTGCTCTCTTGATGCAACTGCTTTACTAACAGTAGTTTAATATGGTGCTCAGGCAGTCTGTCCCTTGAGCATGGTCAGGTTGTTTTGTGGGCACCAAAATAGCCTAAATCTGCTCCTTAACATGGAACTCTGTGACCATTGATATCTGCCTGAGGCATTGTTGTCATTTTTCCTTTGGTCCCATGCAAAAATTTTCCCCTGGGTATTTGGGGAGGTGTGTGTGTGTGTGAAGTTCAGTGTGTTGGAAATGTTTTTGGGAGTGTCTCGTTCTGACTGGATTCAGATATCTGATATTTTGGCAATCTCCACTGTTTTTCAGGTTGTTGATATTTGTGGAAGATGCTAAAGATGGAAAAGTGGTCACTTGGGAAGGCACAACACTGCACAACTGTTCCTCCCACAGCTGCTGGGGTGCTGCTCCAGGATGCAGTTTCAAAGTTGGTATTGGATAAGTGGTCCTGCAGGGAGGTGCTGGGTTTGCTCAGGCAGGTCACACAGATCAGAGCCTCTCAGCTCTCTTCAGTGTTTCTGGGTTGGAGTTATCTTCACCACTTTCTTTTATTATTATTTTGTTTTGTGTTATACCAGTTAAGCCTCTGTGTATCTTGCAGTAGCTGTGGTAGTGTCATGTCACATTGCATCATTTGGAAATCTCACTGCTCTGTTACACCAGTGGGCCCTCCTTTGGCCCAGTTCTCGTGTGTCACTGATGCAGTTTGAGGTGAGAATAATTGAAAATATTGGACATTTTGGAACAAGACCTTCCCTTTGCAACTGCTGTGCCAGACTGACATTTGACCAATTTGCCAGGAGATATTTTATTAGAGGTCAGCTGCTATTGCCATTTTGAAGAGGCTGTTACTCTGTGAAAAGCCCAGGATTCACACTGATTGGAATTATTCTACTGAAATATTTGTGTTGTGAGACTTGAGGATTTGTAAATTGTGTATACTAGGTTACATTTTCTAAGTTAATGAACCTTTTTCTGCATCCAGCTCACAAATATCTGTGCAGATACACACATATGAGCCTTCCAAGACATGCAAATCTCTGCCGTCCTTCTGTGGTATCACCGCTGCCAGAAAAGTCAACTGCAATGCAAAGCCAAGGAGCAGGACTCAGGAAACCCTCCTGCTTTCATGTTTGGTGAGAATTTCAAAGTTTGTCTCTTGTGGTGTTATTTTTTCCTGCTGATAGCAGGAAGAGGAGCAAGCACTGCATGACATTGTGCTCTCAAATCCTTGGCAGGGATTTTGAGACCACAACTCTTCTCTGGTTCTTAAAGGCTTTCCCTGGGAGAAGTTGCAGGATGCGGTGGAATTTCTTTCTTCTTTGTGTCTGTGTTGGCTGAAGGAGGACAGAGGAGCTTGAAAAGGCTCGCCCTCCTCAAGGAACGCTATCTGATTCGTAAGCATTCCTAGAGGTTAAGGCTGGTGACTATCAAGAAAGCAAATACTTCACGCAAGGGTAAGTCCTCTAATTGTGTTTGTGTTGAATAACTGCCAGATCCCCATGTCAGGATGTCTGCAGTCACGGCTCTGATCTCACCATTCCTTCCTCGGCTCTTGCACAATTGTGTTGCATGTTTGTGGTACGGGAGAAAGTTGGAGAGCTGGGCTATGAAACCATCTCAGGGAAGGAAGCCATGTTTTATTTTAGTTGCTTGGTTTGGATAAAAGCCTGTAGGAGATGGAATAACATAAAAAAATCCCCATAATGCAGCCCATTCATGGAAAACAAACCTGGTTTTCTCTACAGATATATGAAATATGAGGTTTGATAGCCAGGTTGGAAAAGGAAATGTCAATAAAAATGTGTTTGCTAGTGTAGTGGAAATCCGCATGTACATATGTGTGAAGTTATTACTTGTTCTACCTGGACTCTCACCTGTGATTGCAAGGTCTGTTGGGGTCAGGCTTGTAAATTCAAAAAGGGAACTTTTGAAAAACTGGTTATGAATCTGCTCCTCTGATGGATCACTTCAAGGATCTGTTGTGGCAGGGAAGCCACAAAGCAGTGACAAATAACAGGTTACAAGAGAGGAAAGAAACCCAAAGATACTGGATTGAGCTTAGCAAGAGAGACGGAAGGGAAGAACATCATAATTCCTTCCAGCCATTGCAGAAGAGTTTTGAGGACTCTCAGAACAAGCAAGGATTGAAAGCCACTCAGGTTACACAAATATTAAATCCTGAAAGAAGACAGCAGTTGCCTTAGCCACAGAAATGTTGATTAAAAGTAATATCCTGGTCGGTCTCAGTACCATAAATCTATCCTAGATGATAAAGCTGTGCATTATCCCTGTTTGGTTAGAACAAAGCAAATGTCACAGAGGTCTAATTTTAATACAGAAAAATAGTAAGAGGTTGAGTTAATCTATGACCATCATGTCGTCTCACATAATAAAATCTGGTGAGCTGGTAGCAGTGCTCCAGGAGGATGTCAGTTCCACTTCCTAAACCAGGAAGAGGAGAATTATCCAGAGCAATAAAGAGCTTGTACAAATAATACGAGGGAAATCAGAAGTTAATCTGAATACCAACTCACTCAATCTAATCAGTAGGAACAGCTCCCTGCCAAATGCTCCGTTACCTGAAACAGGGGTCAACTGATAAACATCAGCCGGTCCTCTCATTAAAAAAACACAGCTAACAACCCCCCTTCATCTCCAGATCTCAAATTCCATCGTTCCCGATAAGCACTAACCAGTTCCTCATCTCTCATTTGCAGTTCATATCCTGAGCTACACAGATTTGTGTTAGAGATAAGGATATGAGAAAGCAAAGCCATATTAATGCACATGCTGCAACCTGCGAGCCTCTCCAGGGCTGCCGTGCCTGGCGCTGGGAACTGGGGTGGTCAGTGGGTCTGCACTGGGATTTGGGATCTGGCCACACCCCGCTCGTTTGGCAACCTCAGCCCAGATGAACACAGTCAAGGAAAGCACTGTGAGCCACCTGGGTGGGGAAAGAGATGGCTGGCAAAAGAGGGAGCAAGCAAGGAAGAATGGGAGCGAGAAGGGGAAAGAAGGACGGGGAGCTGTAATCCCAAATTTATGAAAGATGTCACCCAGCTGCCATGACACCATGTTAGCTACTTTTGGATTCTCATCCCACTGTTAGATATTTGTCAGAGCTAAAGGCAAACCAATATTTTCTGTCTTTGCCTTTCAGCATGGGTGAGGTTTCAGTGCCCTAAAAAACAGGTAACACAAATCAGTGTTGGCATTCAGATGGCAACCAGTAAAAGGTGGTTCCTGAATCTGTGTTCTGGGGTTTGAGTCAAGCATTTCTCTTCAGCCATTTATCCAATGTTTTTCTAAATTTTTGGAAAGGTACAGAACTTTTGCTTTTCTTGGTAGCTGAGAGAAATAAGGCTTGAGTCAGCTGCACCACAATGCAGAATTCTTCTTTACAACAGGTTAGAGGCTTCCCAGAGAAAATCGCTCTTTTCCGTTCTGCAGACTTTGGTTCTTCATGTGTTTTAGATTTGCAGATAAACTAGTCAAAACTAATCAAAAGCAAAACAGAACACAACCAATATAAAATCCCCCAACTGCCTTTTTAAAGGTCACTGACTCAACTATATTTAGTTTTAATATTTTTTTAATTTCAGAGTGTGGGAAATAAGCAGGGGTTATTTCCTCCAGCAAACCAGGGTTTTCTTAGCCTCTTTTTTTGACTTCAGATTTAGCTGAAGTCAAATACTATGACCTGTAATAATCTGAGAACAATATGTCTTGTTTGCACTCAAATTGCTATTCACTGTCACTTTACTTGTTAAAGGAAAAAAATAAAGCCTGTTTCAGTGAGCCACAGGTAAATTAAATTTAAATCAGTTCTATGATTAAATTCTTGGAGAGAAGCTGACTGTAGCAGCTTGTATATGCTCATATTTGTGGAAAGTCTACCCTCAAATCAGAAATATGTCAACATTATTTCAGTGACATGTTTTCCTTTTGAAAAATTTCATTTTTGTCAAAGCGAGTAATATAGATAAACCTAATAAATGGATTAATTTAGGTCATTATTTGGGGAAAATAGATGTACTCTTTCACATTATGTTTCTCTGTGAGTTATCACCCATTTGTCTTTCCAAGGACATGTTCTTCCTTCCACTATTTACTTTTAATTTCAAAGGAGAAAAATAATGGGTAATGGGGGTTTTGGATTATTATTTCACTTGAAATGCTGAGACAGTAATGAAATAAAATATCCTATGCCTCCTTTAAAAGCCACACACTTGCTATTGAAGGGGAAATAATTCCCCCCCCAGGCCCTGTTCCACCCCAAAAAAGAAGAGAGAGAAAAAGAGAACAGGTGCAGTTAATGGGCCAGACTAAAGTATCATGGGAGATTTTCAAAGCCACAGATCAATTTAGCTGCACCACTTCCGAGGAAAATAAATGAGTGCTGTTTACTTGGGTTTTCTGCAGTTTGAAATTATCCTCTCCAATGTAAGCTTTGGGGCAAAGTCTACTTGAAATAATTGCAGCCATTTGGAATTGACATGTCAGCACCACCTCACATGACAGGGACGAATGCCGCTCACTCATACACAGATTTTCCATAGACAACAGAACAGCAGAGAATATTGCCAAGCATTGCCAGGGAAAAGCAGGAATAGCCTTGCCTTACAATTCCATGCTTTATTTTGCTACTTTTTCAAAATTGTCTCAGAGTGGGGAACAAAGTCTGGGCATTTGTCTCAGGCAGGCAATTCTATGTCTTCTTTTCCTTTGGTTTTAGCAGAACCTTTCTTCCTGTCTACACTCCCTGTTGTATTTGTTTGTCTTAAATTGTCCTAGAAAATTATGAGTTTATGAAAATGTAACATGTGTCTTGATTCTATGAAATTAATAAATTATTAATTAAGTCTTTCAATCCCACATGTATACATACACTTAGATACATATGTTGAATCTATTATAAAAAAGCTGTCAGGAACTTTGGAATTATACAAAAATTAGACAAAATGGTACATTTAGTACACCATCTGCTTTATTAATGGGTAACTTACTCATCTCTGGGCCTACATCACACTTTGTGCTGATCCAAACACACACCCAATTAAATTAAAGGGATTTTATCTGTGATCTTATTTTAAAACCTTAGTTCTTTGCAAGGTCTACCATTTTGTAAAGTCTCTGTGGAAACACTGTTTATTGAAGTGCTAATGGCTTATCCTAATTTCCATAAGGGAGCTTTTTTCCTTCATGCATTCTGACTTTAGTTGACCATCATCTTGTTTTATAGTCAGTATTTAAAAATTGTTTTGGCAAAGTGGCTGAGTAATCAAAAATGCAAATTACCTTTCTTGGACCATTTTTTCCTTATTTTTATTTTTCATGAAATATCTTTCATGTTTTCTTCCTTACGTTCACCTAGTGCAGGTAAATTCAAAGCAAGAACCACATTTCTTTTATTCCAATGACTCACTTCAGCTAGGAACAAATTCTTTTGTGTTAGCTGTTCCTTCTAAGATAATATCATACACTAAATTCCAACATATTAATCTTTTAATGCAAAATCATAGAAAAAAATTATTGAAAATAACCCATAGGTAATGGAGCAAGCTACTGTAGAGTCATCCTCAGGTCTGGATTCATCTGTCTGTTTTTCTACAGAGTGGGGGGATTCTTTTTTTTTTTAAATTTTTTTTTAAGACAGTTTTTAATGCTTGAACAAATCCCTTTTTCTTCCCTTTGGTAATGTGGTTAACTGTCTGGAATGTGAGCCACTGGAAATTCTTCCCCACAGAAGGATCTCCATTAAGCTTTCAAACAGAGTTACTTCATCCCCACAGCTGCATGGATAGAAGGCTTTCTAGCTCCTAAATACTTACTGTATATGTCATCCTTAAATTTTTTTTTTTTTTTTTTCTCAGCCAGAGATTTGGGAGCAGGTGCTAGCCTTTTGCTTCCTTTCTGCTTCCTCTGTGGGGAACGGGCTGGAAAGAGCCAACTAATTAGAAAATTCTACAGGGAAATTAATTCTGCAAACAGCTGAGGAATGGCATTTCAGTATAATGCTCACTTTGTCTGTCAGCAGAGCGCTGGTTGGCTTCCCAAGTGGCAGCTCTCCCAGATGTTAAACATGTTGTGATGAGACCAGAACTGCATCATCATGTTGCCCGTTTACTAAAAGTCGTGGTGCTCTGGAAGAGTAAATACATTAAAACCAACCTCTGGGACGTGCTGTGTTGTGTCACAAGGCAGCAGCATGGGTTTTTTTACATATTCTTGAAGTGTAGCAATGAACCAAATCGTTTTTAGCCAGCTTAGTTCCGAATGCTGCCTTTGCTTTCATGTAGGGCTGGGGGCATGGAGAAGGAGGGGCAAGGACCCTCACTAAACCACTCTGTGTAAAGGCCTGGGTTGTCAAAGCCAGCTCTGTGACATGTCTGAGCAGAGCCCTCACTCACCCAGCTGGCTGTTCTCGGGCACGTGGGGACAGTCGGATCTGCATCCCAGGCTTCCCGCTCCGGAGGCACTGGCGGCAGAAACACGCGGGCAGGGCCCTCTGAAGGAGCCTGTTCTGAGATGTGCATGGAAACAGCACCGAGTGAAGATGATGACAGACTACTCATGTCCCAGAGATCTCACCAGTACCTGCTTTGGTCACCTTAGTATTTCTTACTTGTGGGCAAAGCCCCAGCCACTTGCAATACCTTCTGTGATGTGCCTGGTTCTCAGTGCGCTTCCTGTGACAGACCTCTGTGACCCTGCAGCCCAGTGCTCCTGCCAGCCACATTCCTCATCTGTCCCTTCCAGAGCCCCCAAGTTTCCCTCCAGCTAACCCTGAGGAGCAGAATTCCCATGCACATTGCTCCCAGATTGACGTGGCATCCCTTCCATGAGCTGCCAGGAGGTGGCCCTGGGCTCTGTTTTAGCATTCAGCTATGCACAAGCGGCCCTCACACTCCAGATGTCTGGGAATTTGCCCTGGATGGAACACTGGAAGAGTGACTTCTGAGTTCCCGTTGAGTAAATACAGAACTGCTTTCTTGTCTTTTAAATCTCAACATGATATTGAAGCTTGGGGTGCTCTGAACACCTCTTTGTGGTGGTTCATTTTTCAGGTGTCTTACCCTGCCTCAGTGGCTCTTGTACCCTTGAGCTCTCTTTTCTACTCTGTCTCTATATCTAAATGCTTTTCCTTCCTCTGTCTCCTAAGAACTAATTTGTCTTATCTAAGAATATAAAAAATATGACATTCATGCAATTCCCATCTAGATATGGTATTTTTCTGCAGCTGAAGGCTTTCCAAAGCATTTTTATTTGTCTTATATTTGATTGACTGTAGCAGGACTAGGGTTTTTTTTTTTTTTTTCTTTTTTTTTTTTTTAATTTCCATTGTACTTCACAAATGCAGTATAATAATCATTCCATATTCTGTCTCAATCAAAAATCTCATCACTCCATATTTTCTTATCAGTCAGTTCTCTCCGGCATAACTACATTGCTTGATATGTTGCACAGTGTCGGGTTCAAGGACTGTTTTTAATGGAAAAATATTAATATCCTTTCACTAGTCCAGTGTTAACATGTAGATGTTTTTTGAGAATTATTTGGTTATAAACTTTATTTAAATAGAACCTTGCAATTTTGGCCATGCTTATGTTGATTTGTGATCATCTTCCAGCACAAAGAACTAACTATAGGGCTTTGACTTGGAAAGAGTCATTTTCACAGATGAGGATCATGCTTGCAGAAGAAAATGATAGGATTTCATCTTTGTCTTTAATAAAAATCAAGCTAGTTTCTATATTTTCTAAATTTACTTCACCTGTTAACAATTACAATTTTCATAATGAGATTTAATTGCTTAAGAAACCATTGAAATTATATCCCAACTAAATATTAACATCTTCCCCTCTTCTAATTCACAATTTGAAAACATTCTTTGCATCTTTTACTTGCTTTCTATAGATGTGTGCATTAACAAATTGGAAGGACTAAAAAGCATCTATCTCCAAAAGAGATGTGCATGGACTTTTGGATGTGAGCAACTGGAATTTAAAGTCTCTTTGCTCTAATGTCACACACAGAAGATTTATTCTGCAGTCACATTTTCTGAATTAATTGAATTTTTAATTTTGTGGTCCTAAATGCATCACTGCCTGGCAGTTTTCCAAAGTGCATTGTGATATAATGATGCCTGCATTATGGAAGCTTGTCAAGTGGTCCGTGCTTAACATGGGGACCTGTCTGCACTTAAAACAAGAACCAAATGAAATTATTAAATATTATTATCACATATTCTTCCCAGAATCACACTTTTTATTAGGGTGTGATGAATAATTGCAGGAACATTGGCAGCTGAAATTTCTAAAGTGATTGTCAAATAGGAAATAAAATGGAAAATGGGAAATAAAATGTGCTATTTATTGCAGGTCAAGATAGATTGCCTTTAAATTCTACCTAGATAAAAGTTCTTAGTGATTTAATTTTCTGTTTAGTATCATCCAGATGTTCAAACTGACCCAGGTGGTGTGGAAATTTCATTTTTCCAGCTTATGATAGTGAATTGAATAATAAAAAACAATCATAAAACATCTCCATATTGCATCCATGGAGATTCACTAGGATGATTTACACTAAATGGATTTTTACGTGGAATGGGTTTCTTTTCCAAAGTTCAGCAAGAGTCAAGACTACATCCGTATGTGTTTAGGAGCCAAAAATTGTAAGTAAAGGAGAAAACACATCTGTGTGTGGAAGTTTTTGAATAATTGCACTGTTTGTTTAATGATATAGCTGATGTTATGAGCGCTCCTGGAGAGAACAGCAGAGCTGGAGCAGCAGGGATAAGGATGTTTTCCTTCAGGGAAACATGAAATGCTTTGTTTTGTCCTGGTGTGTTCAAGAGAACTGCATTTCCATTTTGGCTTCAAGAGATCTCCCCTTTTAAAAAGTGAAATTCTCTTTCACAAAATAATGATGCTTTAAGAAATTAAAACTTTTATTTATTTACTTATTTACACTTCAAAGCAAAGTAGTTTGCTCACCCATTTTGGGAACAACTCTACTTGCTGAAGCTGATTGGAATTTGCAAAGGGTTTTAGTAAGTCCAAGATTTCATTTTTCAGTCAATTTTGTATTCATCAAGTAATTTCATTCATCTCTAGCTATGATGTTTCGGTTGCAAGTTTGTTGGGGTTTTTTTTAATGTGTGTTTACCACCCATATTGCTAGAGTTAATAAATAAACACAAATTGATTTATGACTTGTTTTGCTTGGACAAGTTTGTGAATAGAAATGTTGTATAGCATTTAATTAAATTCTTTCTTTCCTTCAAGGATGCCACTATCCAAAACAAATTGAAAATTTTGTTCAGAAATTGTGCTCACACTCTGTAGCATAATGGATACTCTTGAGATAAACTGACATCTGGGGTAGATCTTCATAAGAATGGTTTCCAAAGTTCAGAATGGAAACTTTTAAACTTTCAAGCTGTCCTTAAGTTATAATATATGCCTGGCTTAGTATTGCATTTCAGTATTTACATAAATTCTGTATTTTAAATAACAGATGCACCTCAGCAGATTGTAAACCTTTTCTTGATACATTTTGGCAGCAGCTGCAGGTCACATCCCTTGCTGAATTTCTAGATTGCTCACCAAGGTCAACATTCATCAAGCATTTTTTCTACTACACTTTAAAGATTTTCCTCTCTCTGCTCTGGAAATGCAAGTGTTATTCTTTTCTCTGAAATCCCACCAATTTGTTATTTGTAGGCATGGCTTGGAGAGGAAGGAGGGATGAGGAGACAGTGGGAGTGAGTCATTATTTTATTGTAGTGACACTCTGGTGTTATTCCAGCCAGTCAGTTTTACCCCATAGCTGCTGACTGCAGTGCTATCCATGGCAGATGCTCAGAAATGAAAAGCTACATCTTTTTTTGCTGCTGGTTACTGTGATGTAGCACAGATGAGAAAATAGGTATATATATTTACACCAACTTTATCCTCTGACCAAAGAATCTGACAGTTTAAAGCTGTGCCACTCTCCCAAAGGTGTGTGCAGGTTGGACATGTGTCACTCCTATTTATCAACAGTATCCAGAAATACAGGAACCTAACTGTGCTGAGGATTCATGTAAGGATGTTATTTAAACACCTGTATTTTGTGGCCAGAAAAGCACTCTGTTAAACTCACCTGAGGGTCTGCTACCTCCATAAGAGGAATGTGTTGGAGTGGATAAGGGGACTAGGTCATGTCCCTCATGTCTGAAAGAAAAAACGTAATGGCATATGAATAAAAAAACAGAGATTTTCAGAAAAGACCTTGATATTTTGGTCCTAATTCAATAAATATTTTTTTTTACATTCACAAATACATTAGGCCAGTGCTGGCTGCTTCTGGAATCCCACCCTTAACACCAGCCTTCTTAAGGGCCAACCTGCTTGCCTTCCTTCCAATGCTGAAAAAAATCCCTGAAATCTCGGCCCCTCAGCCCCAAAACAGAAGAAAAGAGGATAGTTTGTGGTTTTTTATTTGACAGTTTGGGTAGGCCATCTAGAAAAAAAATTCAAGCGGAAATTATATGAACATAAAATTGTTTTTGACACATTTGGCAAATAGTAATGTTTTTAAGAAGCCTGCTCTGAACCCTGTTGGGTGAGCAGCCACTTGTTCAGCTTGAGCAAAAGGATTTCTTGCCAGAAAGCAGAAAGGAAAGATCACCAGCTGGGGATTCATCCTTTCCACTCATATTTTCTTTGCCTGTGACTCCCAAAGTGTTTGGTGAAATGGCAATGTTGTTGTACTTTTACAACCAAAGCACAGGAGATTAAAGTGAAGATATGAAAACACAAATGCTTGAAAAGTTTCATTCCTGGAAAAGAGAGACACAGAGGAGCTGACCGAGAAAGCTGATGCTCAGGAGTACCCTAAGAACCTTCATAGGGCTGGTATTTATGAAAAACAAAGCACTTTCTTAGGAGTCTAAATTACACACTAAGCAATGGCCCCAAACTTTTATTACATTCTAGGAAAAGATCAGGAAAAAGAACATAAAATACTCAGAGTTATCTGTACTAAATATTAGACTGTATATTATATCCTGTCTTTAATGTTGTGGAGAAAACCAGAATGGTCTGAATTACTATCATTTTTTAAAAACTAGAAACATAATCTGGGAAGAAGTTTTTATGCTGGACTGCTTTTTAGCTGGGTTGTTTCTGAGGAATTAAAAAGAGCTGAAAATCTCATATTTGGCATTGCATAATCAATGGTTCAATGACTGACCAAATACCCATCATTCTGTTCCATTCATGAGTTTATGCCATACACAGTCAGGTGGCATTTGTCCAGAAGCTGACATGTCCTTTCATTGCTAAAAACCTTGGTTTGGAATGGAATGGAGTCAAGCACAGGAAGGAAATGATTATGGAAACTGTAAGAATTTGAGACCTCAGCTATCTTCAGACACAGCAAAACATTTCCTCCTGTTATCAGCAGGTATGTAATTACTGATCAGACAAACATGCCAAGAAATATTTCAAGAAGGTATTTGGCTCCCAGAAGCTGATTCTGCCTTCAGAGTGCTTGTCAGACATAAGCACAGCATCATGCTGGCATATTTTGTCTTATATGAAGAGAAGTAAAAGGGGTGAGTATTTAGAGCTTGGGCTTTTACTGCCTGTTTCAAGGGACCCTACTGAATGTCTTTGCACCCTTAAGAGATCTTTTATTAAAGGAAAGATAAGCTCCAAAGAACACTGTTAAACTATTTTTTTTCATTTAAATGACCATCACATTTGCCATTTTTTTTTTGTTTAAATATCCATCACAGTTTAAAATGATAAAATTGTGATGGATACACCTGATTACATTATCATAGTATAGGAATTTTGAGATCAGCTCAGGTGCCAGAAAAATGCAAGCAATTAATAAGTTAAAATAATTTTAAAGCGTAAAAGGCAATTAGAAGTACAGATGTGAAAGGCAATTAGAAGATGTGATACTGATGCACAGAATTTTCCAAGTTATTGGAGAAATTTAACTGTGGCACTGATTGTGCCGAACCTTTACACAATACCAGTGTTTCTTTCAACTGGAAATTCTGATGTCAAACATAAAACATTTGCATATCTAAAACATATTCTAGACTTTAAGCCACTTCAAATACTGCCATTTTCAAATAAAATTTTGAATTTTATCCTACATAACAAATTGTTTTTGTTCTCTTAAAATAATATATTGTACAATTAAATATCAAAATAACAACAGTATTCTTCTGCTAGATTGACAGAGCAAATGGACATAAGTAAAAATCTAGAATATTTACTGCACAGAAAGAAGAAAATGGGTTGGGTGTGGATAATAGTTATTTAACTATGTTTTCAGTGGAAACCACTTCTTTCCTGAATAGGGCTGGTTGTTATTTGTACCTGCATCCTCTTAACTTAGAATGACCTTAAAGAATGTTAAGTGAAGGCCAATTTTAATTAACTACAATTTGCTCAGTTAATGCTGGAGGAGATCAGCTCTATATGGAAGCAGTGCAGGGCTGAATCTGCAGAGAGCTCATTTCTGGCTAGCACCACCCCTCCCTTACAGGCACGCTGCCAGCTAGCAGGGCTTTTTGCTCCAAGATTAGGCACATCTCTTCCTTAATGGATGGAGGGGAAGAGCTAAATCAGCTCAGAGTAATGTCACTGGAGAGCAGCAGGCTGAACTCTTCCAGGGAAAACCAGCAAGATTTCAGCTACATCCCTGAGAGTGAGGCATTTCACTCTATTTAGGTTTCTCTGCTGTGAATTAAATATCTCTAAACTGGCTAAAGGAAATCTCAGGCCTATATTCAAAGCAGTCACCTGAGTGTGGACCTGAGAAGTGTTGGTGACTGAGAACTTGCCAGGATTTCTGTAGCAATCCAGTAAATCAGTGCAATAAGTATTCAAACACAGCCACATATATATGGAGACAGAATATCCAGCCAGAGACCTATAAGTATAATATTTCTTCAGGTATACCATGCAGTAAACTGTCTCACTATATAGGGCAAAACAAAAGCAAATACTTCTGCCGTTTCAGGTCTTATTTTTGAAAGTAAATCTTCACTTTATCCAGTTTAGTATTTTTAAGGCAATGATCATGGAACCATGACTTTTCAGCCGGACTGACAAAGCCTGGAAGTCACTGAGTAGGTCATGAAGATCTGTGTTTCCCTGAGGGCGCAGACTGCTCAGTAAATCTGCTAGGTCTTCTCACTTATGCATTGAACTTAAAAAGTAAAAAAAACCAAGAAACCCGACCCCTAAAAACAAGTAGCGCTCCTGCTCAGAGGATGCTTGAGGGACTTAAGTTCTTTTTCCCACTTACCTTCTATGGGAGGAAATATTTATGGAGGAAACAAACTGAAAAAGATCACAAAGATCCTGCCACACAGATTTCCTGGTGTTATTCTACAGAGGAAGAGGCAAAAAATTCTCTACTCAAATTCCTTTCTCCATGTAAACAGGGGGAAAATATATCGTCTTCTGTCAACATTTTGTTTTGCTCACTTGTCGCTATCATCAAAACTATTCTATGAAGATACAATTTTTTAATCACAACTGGTGTGTTCAATAACAAAAATGTTCCTTTGGGTATGCATTTGTATTGTGCTGAAATGTATTGTTTGCTAAGTGGCCTTATCTATAATTCAGACAGTATTTGTGTGCTTTGGAAGATCATTTGGCAAAGTCTGTGAAAGGAAGTAATTTAGTTATTTGGCTGCATTAAGGATGAAATTAATTTAAGATGAATTAGAACTTTTAGAGAAGGGCTATGAAAAGAACCCAACAGCCAAAGTTCTTGGCTTTGGAAGATGTAATTAGCCAGTACTGGAAGAGCCTTGATGAGCATGCAGTTGGATATCCATTAGTGGATCTAGAGTGGCGATTTGAGAAGGTGTTCTCATTCCCTGGTGAATGCTTGTAGCCTGCTTGAGTGACAAAATAGATTAATTTAAATTACTGCTTTAAATTTTTCAGGGGCAGACTTCAGTTTGAGTCCCTCTCTCCTCCCTCTTGTTGCTCCACAGCCATAAAAACGTAGAGATGTTGCAACCCAAGTACCCAAGTGAAGGCAAAGCTCCATCTGAGAATGCCTTGGGCTCCAGAAGGTTCAGGTTCACAGCATGAACTTAGAGACTGGCTGTTGAGAAGACACTGGCTGGTAAGTCTTTGCTAAGTGAAGATACACTTCATAACCATTTGTTTTGGGTCATTTTCAGAGTAGTGATAAATCTGCGCAATTTTATTTTCACCTCAACAGGACATTGGACATTGCTAAGCTGTTTAATGTATGTAATGTTATACACTGTGATAAAAACAATGCATTAGTGAGCTGAGTGACAAAAAGAATGTGTCTAAAAAAGATCCTTAGGGATAGGCCAAGATCGCTTGCATTTATTTTAATGATATCCAAATGGTGTTCTAATTCAAGATATTAATAATTACAATGAGCAATAAAACTCTAGAAAGAGTTAAATTTACTGGCAGGCTTTATTCTCCTGCAGTGTTTTGTCTGACATATATAACCTATTCCCTTCAATAAATGTCAATTTCTTTGTTTTATTTTTTAAAATTTCTTCAATGTCTTAGCTGTGAGGACAGACAGATCATGGAAATTGTCAGGGATACATCATGTTTTGTATCCATGTGCTTATGGTTTTCCTCAGGGTAACTGAAAGCTCAGAAAAGATGCTGCAGGAAGACTTTAAAACAAGAATAAATATGGAAGTTGTTCCAGAGGGTGGGACTGGTCTTCTGTTTGTCTGGTACTAGAGGCACTTTTGTGGGCATGTGATTTGCCAGTGTTATAAAATGATGGAATCATAATGTCCTTATCCATCTCCTACCAAGAAATAAGCAGCACTAATAAACTTAATCCTCAGTGCAGTCGTAACAGTATTTCCAAGGGCTGTTTCAGAAAATATAAACACATTAAAGAACAGCCAGAAACCCAATCTGCTCAGCAATCACTGATTTCTCAGTTGTGTGTTGAAGACATAGCAACCCAAATTACCCTTGAAATGACTCTATTTATTTCAAGTCATACCCTTTTCCCAGCTGTATTTTTAGACAACTTCATACTAGTAGTACAAGAGCTTGTTCCAGACAAGGACTTAACTTAGGTTTATGTTAACATATAATTTGTAAAAGTTTGCAATAAACATCCTTCTCTGACACTGGCAGAAACTGTAGGAAGGAAAACACCGCCACTAACTTTGGCTACTTGCTTTGATTCAAACCTCATTGTGTGATGTTTGTTATGAGAGCTCCAAAACTGCACAGAAGTGATGAATTGTTGTGTCACTGAGACCAGAATTTCCAAAGCAGCCTCGTCTTTTTAGATTTTGGCTTCCAAGAAAAATATTCACCAGAGGCCTGGTGTTGGATCGGGAAGTGTGCTAGCAGGCTTTCATTCAGATAGCAAGAAATATGCAATGCATGATTCAAGACCTTAGGCCTGAGCTGGCATCCCATAATGCACTCCCTGAAGCTGATGAAATGCTAGGGTGTACAGGAAGTGCCAGCTGAAGTAATACAAATACACAAACTTAGTGAATATTTATGTAGATACGGTAAACAGAAAAGGAAAGTGCCAGTGTGCACATGCTGCTGGTCACTCTGAAACTGCTGCTCTGCACAGGCCAGTTTTTATATCCTTCAGAATAACAGGACCATCATTATTTTTCCAATGCTGAGTGAGTTTCCCCTCTGTTAATCACACAGAGTAAAAGCAGGTCTGTAATCTCAGTTCAGCTGCATTTGGAAACAAGTCTTGTTTGTAAAGATGGAAGGAAACGAGGCAGGAATCTATTTCTCTGCAGAGGCATTCAGTTTTTCCATGGTCAGTCTTTTCTCCACACTGACCAGATTCTCTGCACTGAGTAAAGTTTTGGATTCCTTTAAAATACCTGTTTATCATTGATACAATTCAGGATGCATCAATGACTTTGAAAGGGTGTTCTAGAAACTGCTGTGATATTGCAGTCTCTGTGTGTTCTGTTTTATTCCTTAAATCATGTAGTTGTTCTGGTCAAAATTGCTTGTGATGTTCTTTGAGACATTGAGCAAGCTCATAATGGGAAAATCCATTTCTCTGAAATGCCAGCACTTTAAATAATTTAAAACTATTCTGTTCTACCTAAAGGAAGTTTAATCTATTACTTATCTGTCCAGGAGGATACTGTTCAAAGGTATTGGACTATCTTGAATTAAGAAGGAAAAAAAGTTGTTGGAATAAATTAAATATTTCCATATAATAAATGGTGGCAATTTAATAATTAGTGAGAAGCCTTGTGTTTATAGATTTTTTGTAACATGGCATATGAATAATGGAAACAGAAGGTTGTTTATTCAGCATATAAAAGCCAATTTTAGAGGAATAACAGATGTTGAATGCCAGAGCCAGAAGAGAGTGAATAATTTTTAAAAGCTTTGTGATCATGTATTTGAATGAATTAAATATGAGAATTCACAAAAAATCAGGTGAGTTAGATTTTGTTCTCATTGACAGTGGATAAATAAAGACCCTTTTGTTTCCCTACATGTACACACATTTACTAATGTTGGAATTAACAGCATCACAACCATGCATTCAATGAGCCTCAAGCTTCAACATGACTTAAAATGATCAGTTCCACATAACAAAGTGTTTATGTGGGGAAACCAAATAGCAGAAATCATTCCAAATGGCTGAAAAATGATGAGTATTACCTTGTTAAGATTTGTTTATAAGCATGACCAAAGCAATACAACAGAAGAGTGCCAGCATGTCAGAAAGAAGAGTGGGAAGAAGAGGGGGAAGAAGAGTGGGAAGAACAGGGAACGACTGATCTTTCCATTATTACAGAGCTTGACAAAGCTGGAAATAGTTCCACCTTCTTCAAGTTGTAGTATCTCAGAAGATAATATTCTTTTAAAGAAACAAATTAATTTTAAAACCCTTTAGGAATGGCACCAAGGGGATGTGTGTGTCCATTTATACCCACTGAACTGCTGTTCCTTTGAGGAGTTTCAGCACTCTGGATGCTGGGTACTGCTTTGTTTTAAATCATCTCCCCAAAGGTTTTTTGCAATCAAATAATTTACTTTTATACATGTTTTCTACCAGAGGGAGGCTGTGTCACCAGCAATGCCAGCCAGCACCTGCCTGAAATATGGAGGCCACACTTCTGGTGCTTGCTCTTTGATTTGCTTCCTATGGCTACCTAAATACAGAAACAGAACTGCCTCTGAGCAGCATTTCCACCTGAGGTCTGGAGAAGATAACCTGCTAAAATTGGGGAAATTTACATGACCAAGAAGCATTTGTAGTGTCTTTTTCAAATATAACACTAGTTAGGATCTCCATTTTTTCAGAGAGACAATACGTACCCATTAAACCTGCTCATATTTTCTGCCATACCACTGGAGATAAAACAGGCACTTGACTGGTTTTATTGAGGTCTCACATTTGCTCTGTTTCCTCTTTTATGGTGGGCACTTTTTCCGTGTTAAGCTCATATGTAACTTTCATAGAGTTTTGGAAGTATGTGACCAGTCATGCAGTCTCTAAAAAACAGCCAGTATTCCCTTTGTTTTTTTTTATTGCTGTAGGTCTTCATTGGGTTGGATATCTTCCTCTTTACAAGCACCTTTGTGTCAGAGAAACAGAAGACACCTTTCTCCTGCCTTCCTGGAAAGTCCTGCATGGACTAGACTCCTGCAGGTCACAGGACTCACAGCAGTAACTCAGTCAAGTGCACATGTTCCACTCTGACCCCTGTGTTTCTCACACTGATCCTACAGTCTCTTTTGGGAATCCGAGCAGCCTGAATGGCTCAAAATATTATTGATGGGCTGCTGAACGTCTGCCTACAGTTTTTGTAGAGTCATGAGGGAATTGACTGGGCACTCTCTATTAATCATCTTGTGGCTGAATCTCAGCTGATGCTGAAGGTTTCAGCCCTACATTTTAGCAATGTGCTCAAAGGCAGGCTGGTGGCAACTGAAAAGTAAGTCCACTGGTCTCAGTTCAAATTTTACTGACAGTAAAAAATTAACCAAAATAACTCCTAGTCAAAAGTTCAGGAACAGCCAAGGTTTAAAAAAAAAAATAAGAGTGAACTTGTCTCTTCCCAAGAGGTATTCTCTGTGCACCAGCAATGAAATGCAAGGGGGCACATTGATGTTAGCACCACCCAGGCTGTCAATAAAGACCTTCTGTCCTCAGAAATACCAAATCAAGTTCCTATGAATTTCCCACTCTTCCAAAACCACTTTCCCACCAGGAAGCAGTGATTACAGAACTGAAGAGCATTCCCTCCTTCTCACATCTTGGCAGTCTGTAAGCACTGTGCCTGTCACAGCATTCCCAAGAGGTCTCCTTTACCATCCTGTCTCAGCTCTGCAAGCAGCTGCTTCCTTTTTGTGCAAGAGTTCTTGGAGCTCTTTGCTTTTTGAAGCTAAAGCACAAAAAAGCTGGCAAATAGCTACGTTCTGTTGGGAAGATGAAATCCCACTGCAGATGGAGAGGTTAGCTTAACCTATAAAGTAATTCTGGAACAGCTATTGCATTGGCAAAATTCTAAATTCTAACCAAGTTTGATTGCTCTTGGCTTCTCCTAATTTGCTTTCTTTAGGATTGTAGCTGCTCCTCACTCTGCAGATGTTTGTCCCATTACTGCTCACAGGAGTTAAATATACACAGATATATAAGAGGACCATCTACTCTCAATATTCCAAGGTCAGCTGAAATCTGGACCTTTTACTTTCTCTATGCTCCACCAAGAGAGAACAAAACTTATGCAAGACTTCCTCAGGGAGCACTGGGCCTGAGGTTTTCACAATGCACAAGGCTGAAATTCAAATATGAAGCACAGCTGTTTGGACAGGAATCTTGGACCTCTTTGTTTTGAACTGCAGTGACCCACTCAGCCTGACCAACACATGAAACTCTGAAATTCCTGCACAGCAAGTGACTGGGATGCGAAATTGCCTGGCAGGCAGTGACCAGTTTAGGATCCTCTGGGATTTGCAGGTGGAAGGGCTGTTCTTTCCCCTTCTTTCCCCTCACTCACATTGCTCACACACATCATTCCACCTGTGTGCAGGTTTGAACCTCTGTCCACCACCCAAACTGCTGACCCAGTGATCTTGTTGCAGATGGTGACATTCCTCCTTTCTGCCAAGGACAGGTATTTTTAAGCCCCTGGTAACAGGTAAAATAAAAAGGGAAGCAGTGTGGCATAAACCAGTCAGTCAGTTTAATTAGAGACAGATCTCCTCTTTTAAATACTTTCTGTATCCCCCAGGTAGTGCGTGTATTTTGAAGTATATAATACATAATAAAGTGCTACTTAAACCTTTCCTTTGATTTAGCTGCAATTCCACAAATATTTAGAATTCCAGCAATGAGTAACTTTGCAGAACCAAGACAGGATATGCTGCATTATAACCAAATGTTAAATAAGTTGTTAAAAAGATTGGCAATGGCTGTGGTGGCTTGGATGAGGTGGAGGCTTCTTGACTGATTGGGCTTTTCTTGGAGTCAATGATAGATCCTCTTACACCCCCTTACGTTTAGAATCCAATTCTAAATCATCCACTTCAATATCATCTTCTTTGCAAAAATTATATGTATTTTCTATATTAATGCCTGATCACAACAAGATAAGGGGTATCTTCTTCTGTTCTGACTGTCTGACCTTTCACATTCATTTTGCTGTTGCAAAGCACATGAACTGCTATGGAAAGACTGTGGAAAAAACCACAATTTCTTCCTGTAGTGATATAATGAACATTTTTGTGAGTCCAAGATAATAGGAATTCCAGTATTTGTGCTTATTATAAAATACAGCAAGCAAAAACAAAGTAAATCCTGATTTTTTTATACAGAAATTATTTTGACTGCATCTTTGGCTGGGTATGACATGGAAACCGGTGACTGTTTATGCTTTACTCCTTTTTTTTTGTCTGCATAAAATCCCAGTCCCACATGAAAAACAATTTATTTATCTAGGAACAAACTATTACTCTTTTGGGGACTGGCTTCTAATGAGCTGGGTAGTAAGGCTGTTTCTTTTCAGCCAGGAAAATGCAAGGAGTATAAAATCCAGATGGACAGCACATGATGCTGGAACCAGCCACGTCACATTGATTACAGGAAACCTATAGGAAATTGAGTAAAAATCCAAACACCAGATAGTGAGAGCAGCAAACTGGCTGCACTGTGGGGTTTCATCACAGCTCTGGCCTCCCCACGCCTCGCTGAATATTGACCTGTATTTAATATTCATGAAGGTGTGGGGAGGCAGGCAGGCCTTGCAGAGGGATGGAGCAGCATCTGGAATCCCTACGGATAACTGCAGGAATGTTTATTCTTCTTTGTTTATTATTCTGAGTGTGTGCTCTCTCCCTCTGCCTCTCTTTGTCTCCCTTTGTGTAATAAAGCTCCTCTAGGCATATAAAGTAAGTCATCTGGAATTGTGCAACTCCTTCTGCCAGGAAGCTGGAAAAGCCCCTCTCCTGTGCAGAGAAAAAAATACAGACTCGTCACAACCACTGAGAAATTACAGAAATACAGCTTTTGTCTTTGGATTACATTTAAATAGCTAAGTGCTGTGGCAAATCATTGTGCTTCTCACTGCTTTAAAAAAAAATCTCATTTCATCCTGTCCAATGTGTTATGTTTATTTAAAACTTAAAAAAAAAAAAAAGAAAAAGAAAAAGGCATATTTTAAAATAACGTGAAGGCTGCAAAGTGCATTAAAAGGCCTCAGTGTCAGAGTTGCTTTGTGCGCCAACGGGTGCAGAGAAGGAAGAGGAAATAAACAGAGAGGAGGATCTTTTAGAGCCACATGGGCAGTGAAATTTTGTATTTGTTCTTTGGGGAAAGGGCAGAGTAGCTGCTGGTTGGATAGGAGCCGGCAGTGTTTTTATTGGCAGGCGAGCCTGAGTGGCTGAAAGGTGGCCATTAACACCCTGACACGAAGTGCTGACAGGGCGATTATAAGATTAACACCCTGTGTTATATTAACAGTGTCAAAACCTCCCCTCACCTGTCAGGGAGGAGTAATGGCACCAAGGAAAACATTATAGACAAACGGAGATTTTAACCTGAAAATACCACACAGCTCCTCTTTCAAATTGCTGTAAATATCTACGTGAGCTACAAAAGCCCAAGAAAATATTTCAAATAGATTTATTTGAAATTTGAATACATATTCTTTCAAAAGAATATATTTCAAATCAATTTTAAATTTTAGTTTCACAAGTGTGCTTGGCCACTTGTCTTGCCGTTTTTATTCCGCAGTTACCCCCCTTTCACTGTATGTGCATATATTTTGATTATATTTCATATTGTAAGCAATGGTTCTGTACGTCCTACATGTTTGTCTGTAAGGTCCATAGATAAAAAGCATAAAAACAT